AATTAATGAAAATCTAAAAATTATCAAAACAAAAAACGAAAACTTTTTTTCTTCAAAAAAAAAATCTAAAAATAAAAACATTTCTCATGTCCAGTGCGCCGATATCCGAAATATATATGTGTGTGTGTTTAATTGTGTGCATTAATATCTAGTAAACATACTTATGTAAAAGAGGAACAGCAAAATAAGCAGAAAACGAAAACAAAAACAGTAACAAAAACAAAAAAATATTAGCCACACATTAGTAAGAGTTCTCTTGTAGTTGTAGTAGCAGCATTTAACAGTGTTGATAAGAAAATCTGAATTTAAATTTAGCTTTGATTTCCTTCACAGTGGAGTAGGCAAAGTGAAATACTGTTAAGTGCAAGCACATTGCATGTAGTACTGTTATTATTGCCAAGGGCCATAGACAAGCAGTAGACAGGGAAAAAGGGTGTTGCGCCCGTACAGTAGCTGAGAAAAAAGAGAGCGCAACCGGCTTTTGTATTGTTATTACACAGTGATGTAGTGGTAGTGGTAAGGGCTGGCAGACAGTTAGCAACTCAGTGTGACATAAATTTTTTTATATACATATATATTTCTGTCTTAAATCTTTTTTTTTTCATTTATCTTGTGTACCGTTGTACTTTTTTTTTGTTGTTTGCTCTAAGTTGGGGAAGTTGCAGAAAATACGATCTTATCTCGTATTTATTAGCGCTCACACTTCACGCTTTTATTGTTATCTGCTTAATGTAATCCTTTAATAGTGACCTTTTGTATTAGTTTCCTTTTCTCTCGCTTCTCGCCATTGCTAAGCAGTGCTTTTCGGTTACCATATCAACAAAAGGCATAAATAGGCATAAATGAAGGGAAATGAGTAGCACTCGTATGACCTGTTTTGCTGTAGAGATTGAATTTTCCTTCTGGCGTCGGTTGTGCCGCCATTTATTTATGCACACACATATACATGTCCTAAATGTGTAGGTAAGCTGATATTCAATGGCTGGCAAACTGTTGCTAGTTGAGCCACTTGTTTCCTGTGTGGGCATAAGACATCTATTATTAGCGCTCCTGTAGATGATGAAGTGAGAAAATTAATTGACAAAATTGTGTTTTGGTTTTGTTTTTTTTTTTTTGTGTTTTGTTTTGTTTCGAGGCTTAAGTAATAAATACATGTGAATTTAAGTTTGCTGAATTATGTTGAGTATTAGTTTTAAAAAATGCATAACAGTGATTAATATCATATATTTTAGTTGCTCAAAAATAATTTACAACAAAATATGTATATAATATAAATTAAAAATTAAGAAAAAGGTATTTTAATTATATTATTATTTTTTGATAAACTACATGTGTAATAATTTTAAAATTGTTTGTAGTTATTTTTATTGTGATCAACAGAGCTTAAAATTAAAAATATAAAAAATAATTTCAAATATTTGCCAGTTATTTCAGTCGATGAACTTGTAAAGTATATAAATTAATTATTATAAATTAATTATTTTTTTATTTTTTATACTACACACATTTTTATTTATTTTTTTAGATGTGTAATAGTTTTAATTTAAATTAATTTTAAAATTTTTTATAGTGATTTATTTTATGTTCCACAGAGCTTTAGTAACGAAAAAAAATTCTAAATATAAAAAAAACTAAATATTTTTCCAATTACTTCAGTCGATGGACTTGTAAAGTATAGTAAAATTTTAATATATTTTATAAATTAATTATATTTTTATTTTTTATACTACACACATTTTTATTTATTTTTTTACATGTGTAATAATTTAATAATTTTTGTTCAACAGAGCTTTAGTAATCCACCGAGCTTTAGTAACGAGAAAAAAAATAAAAAATAAAAAAAGCAACTTCAGATATTTGCTAATTATTTCAGTCGAAAAACCTGTAAAGTATAGTGAAATTTTTATATTTTTTATAAATTAATAATTTTTTTATTTTTTATACCACACACATTTTTATTTATTCTTTTTAGATGTGTAATAATTTTAATTTAATTTAATTTTACAATTGTTTATAATGATTTTTTTGTGTTCAACAGAGCTTTATTAACGAGAAAATAATTAAAAATAAAATAAATATAAATAATTGCTAATTATTTCAGTCGATGAAATTATAAAGTGTAGGCAAATTTTAATGTTTTCTATAAGCTTTTAATTTTGTTTTTTTATTTATTCTACTACATAATTTTTATTATTTTTTTTCGGCCATACTACGAATTTTTTGTTATATGCTCCAAGTGAGCTAAAGGCCTGGTTTGATTCTGGCTTTGTGCCAGAACACACGCCTGTTAAGTCAGGATCTGTAGGTTCGATCCCTGCCGTAAGAGGTCTGATGAGGAGATGTGGTGATTTCCTGAACAGTTGTCACTGCAACCATCTTTCTTTGTTGTATAACAAAAATATTCAATTCATACAAACAAATTTTAAAATTTTTTAAATTGGTATAATTCAATTAAAATCTGTGTTGTATGTGTATTTCTTCTATATTATTATAAACATAAGTTCTTGTGTATTTATTTATTTTATTATTATAACTCAAAGCTGTGCTATAAAATGAGTGAAAAATTATTTAGCGATATAAAAATTAAAAAAAAAAAAAATTAAATTAAAAAATTGGCATACTCAAGATTTTATAAAACTCGTACAAAAATATGCATGAAAAACTTGCAGTCTTAATGGAAAAATATTAAGTTTTGCAAAAAAATTATTTGAATTAAATTTTAAAAAGCCTCAATAAAGGCTTAAGCCAGTTTTTTGTGAAAAACAATTTTTTTTTCTAAATTAATAGCAAAGTAATAAATTTTTAACAGCAGAAGCAGTAAGGTTTTTGAATACCAATTTTTAGCTGTTTTTTTTTTTTTTTAATTCTAAATTTGTACTTTCATCCTAAAAAATGTTTATATTCCACTACTAAAATTTTTTTTTTTGCATTTGGAAAAGTTGAAATACGCTTCCTTTGCTTTCAAAATTTTTGTTATTTAATAGAAAATTGTTTATTCAAGCTGAACTCAAAGTAGTCATTTTACTATATATGTAATTGTAAATGTTTAATTTTTTTACTTTTAATTAACTTTTTTTGATTGAACTGAAAAATAACGCATAAAATGAGTTTTGCCAAAAATTTTGCATAAGAAAAAATAAATATTCAAAAATATTTTATTAAATTAAAATTTATAAAAATTAGGTCGTGTATCTCTAATTAATAAAAACTTTTTCTCAACGAAAAATGTAAATATTCTTACTGCTTATAATTAGTTATAATAATAATGAAAGAAAAAATCGAAGTTAAATATTAAATAATCAATTATAAAATTCTGTGTATTTTAAACACATTCAGTGAATTAATATATATTTTTTCGGTTATAAGCACATGAGCTTTAATTGATGGAATTTTGTTTTTGGTGAATTGAATATTTTTGCTATACAACCAAGAAAAATGGTAAGAGTGACAACTATTTTGGAGATTTCCTCATCCGACTTCTAATGACAGGGTTCAAATCGACGGATCCTGATTTAACAGGCGAGTTTTCTACCAGTGAGCCAAAATCAGTCAAGTGATTTGTTGTTATAATCAATTAAAGCTCATCAACTTCTAACAAAATATTAATAATATAGGCCGCAAAAACAATTAATTATATTTTTTATTTATATTAATATAAGCTCATTCAACGAAGACAGACATAAATTAATTTTTGAAAGCCTTTCATTTCCCTCACTTGAAATAATTCATATTTTGAGTCTCTGTTAAAAAGGATTTCCTATCGAAGAACGACTGTATTTAGAAAAGAATTATATTTTTTTCAAAAGCTGCAATCGTTTGAGTCATTGTGCTCACTTTAATGAAAGTTTTGGTCTAGCAAAAAGAAAATTATTATTTTTTCATTGAAATTAAGGCTCTATTTACAGTAATTAAAATTGTCCGATGTATGCCAAGTAAGCAGGGTTTTGCTCGATAACTTTATGAAATTTTAAGCGTAATATCATTATGCCTCTCTCATAGAAACCCCACTGCTTCAAGGAAAAAAATTTTACACATTGATTTTCACAAGCACCTCTTGAAGCTAATTGTTCACCAGCCAAATCATTTGCCATAGACAGAAATAGATGGCAATAACTTAACCGAGGTCTGAACTATAAGGTGTATACATAACTATTTCCGAACCATGCTTTTCGGAGCTTCAGGCGAGTCCCTAGCGATGTGTGTGGTCTAGCGTTGAAACACAACTCCGCGGCGATTCGGGGCGTTTGATTCTTTCATTCGTGCAATTGCTATTGGCATAAGTGCGAGTTAAGCACTTCGCCTTACGGTAGTAGCTCAAATTGCATGATTCTTCCCTGCCAATCCCAGCAACAACATGACAAAACTTTTCTGGCCGTTAATTTTGGCTTGTAGACTGTTTGTGCCCGCTCACTTTGCTGTAAGTGATCCACTCCGCATCAGCAGTCACCATCGCAGATAGAAGTTCAGCTCATCAGGTTTTTTTCTATCGATATTTTCGACAATTGGCCTTCCACACCGTTGAGCAACTTTTACATCCAAATCGACGAAACCAATTCTATGATTGTATGATTGACTGTTACAGTTTCAGGATCATAAATATTATTCAGAATTTTAGCTGCTTGATTTGTGTTTTCGCCTTTTGCGAAGCAAAATTGTGGATCATTTATATCCTTATTGCGCTCATACACTACTGACTTAAGTGATCAACAAAATTTAAAAAAAATTCATCTTTCTAACGACATCTAGTGCAGTCATATCGCAGTTATAGAACTGATACAGATCACTAAAAACCATCTATAGCAAAAATGATGGATTACTTTTTACTTGACCTTATATATTTTTAAAATCAAAATTTTAAATTTTTGAGTCTTTTTTTTTTGTATTTCAAACGAAAAGTATAGATTTCTTGTTATTTAAGTAGTAAGCCAGCTGCTCACGTATTTAGGTATTTTTACTGAAATCTTGGTTAATTAAAAAAAAATGTGTTTGTAGTCAAACCAACTGAAATGCACCAAAAAACAAATAAATTTAATTGAAACGTGTAATTTATGCGCGCAATGTCGTTATTAATAACAAAACTGAAATAACAAATTAAAAATCAAAATAACAAAACCAAAAAAATTATTTACACAAAGCGAAATTTGGAGTCTTGCAAAGACTACAATCAACCAAAGGTGAGTGAGTGATTATTTTTTTGTGACTTAAATGAATTGCAATTTATAATTTTTAATTAATTTATCAATACGAAAATGTTAATTTGGCTTAGAAGTAGAAAAAATAATAAATTTAAAGACTACAAAAAAATTAAGAATTTTTTCTTGAATTTCTTAAATTTTTCTTGTATTTGTATTTCAATTTTGAGCTTGTGAATTATTAAAAAAAATTATTCTCGCTATTTTAAGCCCAAATATATTTAAATTAATTTTTTTCATGCCGAAAATTTTAAATAAAATTGGCCGGTAAATTCGCGTTATGTCGTTATTTGAGAAAACGAATTAATTTAATTGAATTTCAGCTAGAAATACAAGTGAAATTCCAGAAAATCCATAAAAATTGTTCATATCAACAAAAATCGTAAGTAAAGCGGCACAGATGTAGCTTAATGGGATAACCAAGTAATTATGGTTGCTATATATTTAGTAAAAGATATGAACTTTTAATCTAAAAAAAGTAGTCTGATGAGCAAACGAGTAGTTTGAAATAGCCGTAGAAAACTGTTGGTGTAATTTTTTCACTATTTTCAAAAAGAAAAAAATATTCGGTCTGAGACAGTTCCATAAAACTTAAAACAAAGAAAAATTCAAAAAAAAAATGACCTGAAAAAACTTTTAAAAATCATATTTTTTGAACCAAAAGCGATGAAATTAACTAACCAATGCAATGTAGAAATAAGTGATTATGGTTAATGGATTGGCTGAAATGGGAGCTGTTTACGAGCCATTGAAGAGAGCCAATGTGCTGCGGAGCATTCTCGGTTATAAGTAATAGTTCTGTTAAATAAGTATTTTTTAAAACTCAAAAAATTAATGAAAACGAAATCTTGAAAGCCGTGAGATTTTACTCTAATTTAAATACAAAAATATAAATTTTACCAAAATGTTAACCTGAAAAGACATAGAAACCTGATATCTATTTAGTGAAAGTTATAAACTTTTGACCTAAATAAATAGTAAAACTTGAGTAATTGGTATACTTTTCTTTTAGTAAAACTAGTAAATAAATAAAAAAAATTAAATTGCAAAATTTTTATCAGCTTTTACCGTTAAAACAATCTAGAAATTCAACTAAATTAGACACAAAATTAAACTCTTCAGGTGGTGCGAGTATCCAATTCCAAATATTTTCCAACTTATCTCATACTCAAAATTTCTATTTTTAATTCAAGAAATAACAAAATAATTTGACGATAGCTGGCGCTGAAGTAGAATTTTTTTTAACAAAATTTTTAATAATTCTAATTTTTGAAATAAGATACTACTGTGAGCGAAAAGTAAGGTGAATTTGTTTGTTAAATTAAAAATCTTTATTTATTCTTCTACATTGAGCTCGTCACCTTAAAAATAGTCGCTTGCCAATGTCGATTAACATTTAATCTTCTCAATCGACTCAAAACGGTGTCCTCGAAGTGGTCTCTTGAATTTTACAAGAGCCAGAAGTCACATGATATTAATTCCGGCTAATACTGTGATTTGGGAACGATATTTGTGGAATTTTAAGCGAAATGGTCATAAAGAATGAGTGCTGTGTGCGACGGCGCATTATCGTGATGCAAAAACCACGAAAGGAATTTTTGGTCGTTTAGTAAACACGATCGTAAGTAAAATACCAATGATGACATTGACATGAAATTTGGCGTAGTTGTCAATAACAGTGATACCAACATTTTTGCTATATTTTAATTTTCATTATGCAACATAAAATAAATTAGACGGTTCACTTCACTATTCAAGAATATATTTTAATCAATTTTTGTAAGAAATAACTAATCTCTAATGAAAGTGGCACTCCTCTAGTCATATATATTCAGTACCCACATGATGAATTACACATTACTGTTGAATATTATCATAGCCGATGGACTATATCATACAGCTCACAAACAACTGATTTATTCAGATATGAGGTTCTTCTAAAAACCCAACAAAAAATTATCAAAAAGCGAGAAAATAAGCATTTTCACTCAAAATTATCAAAACTGGAAAACTTCATCATATAACTCATTCCAAACAGTTTTTTCAGATATGAGAGTAAGGTTTTAATCCCAAAATGAAATGTCTTAAATTTGTTATGGTCATGGAAAGTATAGACACCTCTTTTTTATTGCTCAAATATATGTAGTTGGACTCAGAGGTCTTGGGCAAATTTTAGTTAGTGTTACAAGTTTATTTCCCGGTAACTTGGACCATTATAACACAAAGTTATCCCACGATGTTTTTTTTTTATGTAAAGCCCTTAAAAAGGCCATGGTCTCTATCAAATACCTTCACGAATTGGTCTTATTCCAATAACTGCTTCCATATATCGCTTGAAGAGGTAGTGCTTCCTTCTGTATGGCATCTTAAAACTCAAACAAATAGTTGCAGATTTTTGGTATAAAATCATTTGGGTGTAAATAAACACTATCAGCAACACCAAAACCATTTTTACCGCCTATCACAGATAATTTGCGACATTTTTGTTTTAACATTAATATATATTTATTGAGCCAGCTTCGACATCGCAAGCCTAAAAATAAGTGAAAAAAATCTGCGATATTTAATTTTTTTTATTTCACTTTGCCTACATAAATTTTTAAATGAAAATCTATGACTACCAACTTGAGTTCAAATCACATACCTTCAATCGGTTCACAGAAAAAATACAAGCGTTTATGAAATAAGGAATTTCCCGACTTCAACATACCGAGCCAATCGAGAGACTTGACTTACTGAAGAATAGTATTTACAACTTCCTTTCCAGATATCATTACAATTTCTTCAAGAGCAGGCCAAGGTAGAAATCTAAGCTCGAATGAGTTTTGATTATTTATAAATGATATTATTTCAAAAATAAAATTTTCAAAAATTTAACAAAAATTCGGTAAGTTGACCCGAAAAAAAAAACAAATAAATGAAATTCGTTTCGTATTAATTCGTAATCTTTGTCCTTTTTTATCTTCTTTACATAATCGCCATTGATTGCAATGCATTTCTTAAGCCTATAGATCCACTTCTGAAAACAGTCTTCAAAAACTTGTTTTTGCATTAACCGCATTAATTATCTCCTTCTTTCCAATTCAAAATCTTTCCTTTTAAAATTTTTTTTAATAAAATCGCAAGGCGCTATGTCCGGGGAATATGTTGCTGGACGCATTACTTCATTCTCAGATATCGCAATAAAATTACTGGTTATTTCAGCAGTGTTCGGCCCATCATCTTTTTGCCTGTTTTCCAAAAAATTTTGGAAAATTTTTGGTAAACACTCTTGGGTGCACCATTTCGAAGTTACCGTCTGAGCCTTTTCCAGTGGAATTGCAGCTACGATTTTAGATTGGGTGAAGTACTTTTTTTTTGCTGATTTTTATTGCTTAGATTTTACGGTTGAGTTTGCTGCTGGTGGGATCTATACCATGGACTGCTGTTTGGTTTCTGGATCGTACTCATAGAACCAAGATTCGTCAATAGTAAGTCCTTTATTAAAGTTGCACTCTAGCTTCTCTTTGGGCTTCACTTAAAACTCCATCGACATCTTCGTGTATCCCAGATGATTACTCAAATATTACCGATACAGCCCTGGCCTTCAAATCCAATTCATTATCAATTACTTTTTTTTTTGGGTCAATCGTGGGTCTGCGTCAATTTTGGACTTCACCAGAGCGAAAGTGACGTCATCTGTTTAAGATTTTGGTCAACCTTTTCGGGACTCGTCATCTAAGGAAAAATGTCTGATCTAAAGTCTTCGGAACCACTTAGAAATAGTTTTCAAAGACAGCGCAATCGTTCCATATGCAATTTGGAATTCACTGATTATTTGTATTGGCTGTAAATGACGGTGAAACCCGAAAAGAATCTCAAAGCGAATTTATGTTTGCGTTGGTGGTGGAATTTCGTCTGTTCTATCATCAGCTGTCTTGCAATTTCTCGTCACCATTTTAGCCGATCGTTCTTAAATTTGAAATGAAGTCTAAATAAAGTGATTGCAAAGGATTTGGTATTTTTAGATTTAACAAAAACAAATTGAAAGGCTACAATTGACCGAACTTTTGTTAATCCCTCTTGTCACTGAAGATACTAAACTGAACTTTCTTTTTCACATTGGGAGACAGTCTATAAAACCAAAGATGTATTGGCATTTGCAAAACTGTGCGCAATGAAATTAAAAAATCCAATTTTTTTATCAATTTTTCTTCCTCAAATTAAATTGTAATGTGCATTTTTGCTATTTGTGTCTGATAAGTTGTAGACAGGATTTTTAATGCCACGAGCCATATCTAGATTTCAACTCCATTTTCCTATTGAGAAAATAACCCTGTCGACTTTTAACTACTTACTCGATTCACCGCATAGTGGTGTTTAGACTACTAGATTTACTATGAGGAATCAAGATGAATCTTGGGTTCAAAAAAAAAAAAATGTTGTGTATCATGTATGAGACCGAACTTTTGTTAATACCCTCGTGTACCCGCATATTTGTACTCGCTGTTTGCCTTACCGCCACGTACTCTACCGGCACGGCGGGCAGCAGTAAGACCAACCTTACGACCAGTGGATATAACACGCTTAACTGGCGAAGCTTTACCGATGTGCTAATGATTACCACCACCATGAGGTTGCTCAAATGGGTTCATAGTAATACCAAGTACCTTAGGCCAGCTGTTACGTTTCACCTTGTGTTTTTGGTATGCACGACCAGCTTGACAAATATAGGCTTGACGATTCAATTACCACTGGCAACAATACCAGCCATAACACAATCGGCAGAGTGTACATCTTTCTTGTTACCAAATGGCCACTTAACACGAGTCTTTTCAGTGTCAGGGTTGTGGACTTCTCCTGCAAATTACGAATGATGACACCTTCTGGCAACACAACCAATGCCAGAATATTGCCGATTTGCTGATCTTGTAGCGGCAGGAGTCAAGGAAGTACAAAACAGACAATAGCCGGGACCGTGGATGATGCCCTTAACGACATTA